ATGGATTGGAGTTTTATCCATAGCTCTCGGATCCACTTTGAATTGGGTTTTGTTAAAGAGACTGTCACCTCTCCTCAATTAAAGGGTTTTCTTACCTTGTCAAATATCAACTGACCGTAAGTTGATGGACTGATTACTGGAGTCTCTATTCTATTGATCTATATGACTGTTATTGAACCAATACTGTACTGATCTCATTATTACAGCTGTGTAGTAGGTTTTTAGAACAGGAAGTGAGATGCCTCCAACTTACTTTTTGTTTTTCAGAAGATCATTGCTTATTCTGGGTCTCTTTCTTTTCCAGATAAAACTGGAAATTGCCTTTATTATCTCCTTGAAGAATTAATTTGGTATCTATATTGGGATTGTATTGAAATTATAAATTGCTTTTGGTAGGCCTGTCATTTTCACAATGTTCAGTCCTCCTATCCAGGAACAGGGAATATTTTTCCATGTAGTTAGGTCTCTTATTGTTTCTTGTAGTAGTGTTTTGTCATTTTTCTTATAAAGATCCTTTGTGTCTCTAGTTAGGTTTATTCCTAAGTACTTCATTTTAAGGTTCGATATTGTAAAGGCTATTGCTTTCTTAAGTTTCCTTTTCTGTGCTTGCTTTGTTGCTGGAGAGAAATTCCACTAATTTTTATATATTGATCTTGTAACCTGTCACTCTAATCGGTCTTTAGGCTGAAAAGGTTTGTTCTTTGTTGAGTTTTTGGATGATTTCTGTACACTAATTATACCCTCTGCATATAGAAACAGTTTTAACACTTCTCTGTCAATTTGAATGCCTCCTGTTTCTTTCTCTTGTCTTATTATCTTATCAAGTACTTCCAAATACAATACTCAATAGGAGTGGTAAAGAGGGCATCCTTGCCCAGTCCCTGCTCACAGAGAGTATCTTTACTCATTCTCCATTGAGAATGAAGTTGATTCTTACTTTTCTGTATACACTTCTCATTAGGTTTAACAAATTCCCTGTTACTATTTTGTTGAGTGCTTTGATGAAGAAGGGGTGTTGGATTTTGTCAAAGGACTTTCCTGCATTAATTGATTGATTAATTAACTGATTAAGTGAGATCATGTGGTTCTTGTTTTCAAGAATTTAATTAATTACATTTTTTGTTGTTGTTATGTGCCATCAAGTGTCCTGTGACTCATAGCAACCACGTGCACAATAGCCCCAAACCATCCTATCCTGAGCCAATCTCACTGTCTCCAACACACCTGACCCTATTAACCTAGTTACTTTGTCAATCCATTTCATCCTGAGTCCTCCATTCCTGCGTTGTCCTTCCAAGCATGATGCCCTTGAAAGCATGATGTCCTCTAAAAAGGACTAGTCCTTTCTGTCAACATGCCCAAAGTATGTGAGGTGGAACTTCAAAATCCTTGCCTTCAGAAAGCAACATAGTTTCACCCTCTCTAGAACAGACCTATTTCTTATCTTGGCAATCCATGGTATATTCAATATTCTTCTCCAACACCACAACTCATAGGCACCAATTGTTCTTCTGTCATCTTTAGTCACTGTCAAGCTTTCTGATGCATAGCAAGTAATTGCGAAGACCATAGCCTTGATCAGGCACATCTTAGTCTCTAGACTAAGAGCTTTGCACTTCAGCACTTTAGAGAGGTCCCTAAATAGAAGACTTTCCCAATGCAAGTCGTTTTTCGATTTCCTGGTTGCTGGTTCCAAGAATGTTGATTGTAGACACGAACAAATTGAAATGATTAACAACAAATTGAAATGGTTAACAACCTCACTATCTTCCCCATCAATCATGATGCTCTCAATTGGCCCAAAATCTTTGTTTTCTTAGTGCTGAGCTTCAATCCATATTGAAGGCTGTAGTCTGACTTTGTGCAGCAGATGCTTCAGGTCCTCCTCAGTTTCAGCGAACAAGGCTGTGTCATCCACTTAATGCAAGTTGGTGATGAGTTTTCCTCCAATTCTAATGGTACACTCCACCTCATAAAGACCATTACATTAAATTGTTTGCCTTACACTGAATTATCTCTGAATTCCTGCTATGAATTTTTTTTGTTCAAGATAATCTATTTACACACACACTCTCACTGGTTTGTTGTTGTTGTTGTTATGTGACGTCGAGTCGCCTGCAACTCATAGCGACCCTATGTACAACAGCCCTAAACTCCGCTCTGTCCTGTGCCAATCGCACTGTCTTTCCTGAATCAATCCACCTCATAGAGGGCCTTCCTCTCCTGCGCTGTCCCTCCACCCTCCCAAGCATGATGTCCTTCTCCAAGGACCGGTCTCTCCTCACAACATGTCCAAAGTAAGTTAGACGGAGCCTCAGAACCCTTGCCTCCAAGGAGCCACCCGGTTTAACCCTTTCCAGGACGAATCTGTTTGTTTTCCTAGCAGTCCATGGTATTCTCAATACTCTTCTCCAGCACCACAGCTCAAAGGCATCAATTCTCCTTCTATCCTCCTTGGTCACTGTCCAACTCTCTGATGCATAACAGGTGATTGCGAAGACCGTGGCCTGTATCAGACGCACCTTAGTCTCCAAAGAGACACCATTGCTCTTCAGTACTTTGGAGAGGTTCCTAACAGCAGACTTTCCCATGGCAATGCGCCTTTTAATTTCCTGGCTGCTGGTGCCAAGACTGTTGACTATGGAGCCAAGCAAACTAAAGCTGTGTACAATCTCAATCTCTTCACCATCCATCCTGATGCTGCCAATTGGTCCAGTGGTGAGAATCTTTGTCTTCTTGACATTGAGCCTCAATCCATATTGTAGGCTGCAGTCCTTGACACTCTGCAGCAGGCGTTTCAGGTCCTCTTCAGTTTCAGCAAGCAGGGTTGTGTCATCCGCATAATGCAGATTGTTGATAAATCGTCCACCAATCTTGACCCCACATTTCTCCTCATAGAGCCCAGCCTCCAGGAAAATCTGTTCTGCATATAGGTTGAAAAGGTATGGAGATAGGATGCATCCCTGGCGTATGCCCTTCCCAATTTGGTTTTTGGTTTTTTTTTTCCAATCTAGGTTCATGAGAGACAGTGGTCTATAGTTTTCTTTTTGGTGATGTCTTTACCTGGTGTGGCAGTCCTAGCTGATGGTGTAAATAATTTAGGCTTACAAACATAGGCAAAAATGCACAAATTGGAGAGGATAAAACCAACAAATGGGAAGTTCTTAAAATCAAATCCCTGTGTGCATCAAAAACTTTCTCCTGCAGAGTGAAAAGAAAGTCCACAGACTTGGAAAAAACATTTGGCAACAACATTTCAGACAAAGGTCTCATAAAGAAGGTTTACTGCAGGGCCTCCACAAGACTGATAATGCAATAACAAAATGGGCAAAATACATGAAGAGACTCTTCACAAAGGAAGACATTAAAACGTCCAAGAGACACATGTGAAAACTGTCAATATCACTAGCAATCAAGAGAGATGCAAATCAAATAAAAAATTAGATGCCATATCACTTCAGCACAGTAGCAAAATTTAACAATACACCAAAATATAAATGTTGGAAAGAATGCAGAGAGATTGGAATTTTATACAATGCTGGTGGAATTGTCAAATGGTACAAACGCTGTGGAAAGAAGTTTGGCATTTCCTCAAGAAACTGAACATAGAAATCCCACATGACCTAACTCTTTCACTTCTAGGAATATACCCCAAGGAACCCAAAACTGAGACATGAATGGAAATATGTATACCTATGTTCATAGCAGCATTATTCACAATAGCAAGAAAATAGAATCCTATGCAGCACTAATGCATGACTCTGTAAAATATATCTTGGGAGAGATTAGAGAGCATTATAATGAATTAAATAATTCAGTCACATAAGGCCAAATAGTTCATAAGGTCACTATTGTGATAAAATATATGAGTAAGATATGTAAAAATGTTCAGAAGGGAAAGGGGAGGAAAAAAGGTGGGGGAAATTACTGTAACAGCAGAAGTTGGTGGGTGAAGGGGAGGTGAAGGATTAGGAAATGTTCAGTAGGGCCTTGAAAAGACATGGGGATAATACAATACATATGTTGTCGCTGTTGATTGCCATCAAGTTGAGCATGACTCTTAGTGACCCTATGAACAAAAGCCCTGAAGACATTCTATAACTATCGACACTTATCAAAGTTCATAGAGTTTCCAGAGGCATGTTGTTTAGGAACTGGACGCCACTCCTGCTTTCAATGCATATATGAATGATGGCGTAACATGCATGAATGAAATGCAATCTATATGAATGACTGTATGAAGTATTAAGTATCTGTATAAAATATTATGTTTATTAATGTTTATATGCAAACCAATAAAAATTTTTTAAAAACCACAAAACCATGCTTCTAAAAGCCTTAAGGTTCCTGACAGGTGCCTCAGAAAACAAAGAAGGTAAGGAGTTGAGCTCTGGGCTACTCAGCTCAAATAATAAAAGGGGGAAGGGAGAGAAGAATATGGTTAGATAATCTGCATCTTCTTCATGAAGAATGTTTTTCTGCATCTTTCAACTTTTTCCATATAATCATGCGGATTCTGTATTTTATAAGTAATTATTTGGGCACAGGCTAGTGGGGAAAATCCATTTAATTTCTTATTATTCCATTACAATTATAAGCCAAATTGTTATACACCTGTCTCACCAAAATAATTTCTGTGAACTAAAGACTGGTCTCAAATATTATATGAAAATTCTGATGAAAACAGGCAATATACCTGACTACTGTAAAAAAAAGTATTATTTTTAATGCTCTGGAATGGATTAAGAAGACTGAAGTACAATTCCAGTGGTACACGGTTCGAATCCACCAGATGCTTTGCTGGAGAAGGAGGGTCAATTTCCTCCTGTACCAGTCAGATCCGATCTGACGGAACACACACACAAAATAATTTTAAAAAAAGAAGAAGGCTGAAGTATCTCTTTTCAACATTAGTTACTCAGAAGACTATTAAGTAAGACACTCTGGCACATCTTTTGCACTCTAAGTGGTGGGAATCTTACTAATCACAACAGTTTTACCTGACAGATGATATACGACACAGTGTCTCCAGCTTTCACTTTTCGGCCTCCTTGAGAATTTATCCAGAGGGCAACATGTACATGAGGTAGGCTTTTTTTGTCAGGGTAATCCTGTGGATCCTTGGTCAGTGCCTAAAAAAGAAGATGGCAAGGCCTGAACTTCAAATGAAACCCATCTCACAGACATAAGCTAAGCACAAGTCGGCTAACACTCTATCAGCCACAAACATATAAAAGGGAAAGAAGCTGCAAGCAAAAGTACTACCACACAGTTCTTACAAGTTCCACCCAAAAAGCCCTTATTTTGTTTAATAACTAGTAGAACCAAATTGAATCCTGCCCAATAAAAGAGTATCAGTTCCTTAGGACAAAGCATCAGATGAGAGGAGAGAAAAATGTAAGATTATAAATTCCATGTTGTATGCAGTCAGGAAGTTGCTTTGCTCCAAATATATGCAATCCTCTCAATGAATTAACTGATTCATTGGAGCTGATGAATAATGGCTACTGTGCCTTAATGATCTGTTTCTCTAGCCTAAATAGAACTCAAAGGCCCCAGAAATCACAGGATTTACTCATACTGTCAACTTCAGCTCCAGAGAGGCAGAATGAGCATAAGCCCCACGAGAGCAGGAATGATGTCCTCCTTGTTCACAGCTGTGTTCTCAATGCTTGGTATATGGCTGCAACCAAATGTTTACGGAATATACTATTTCACTCATGCCACAATAATTTACTAAGTTCAAGCTGTGTAAAGTACTTGGATGAGTAAGACACAGTCACTGGTATTAAGTCATCTGCTATTAGTAGAAGCGCAAATAAAAAAATCCCACACCAAAAACCACCTCTAAAATAAACTACATGAGCAGTAACAGATGTGAAGAAAGTATTACTGAGAGTTTAGATGTGAAGATCACATTTATCTGGGAGCTGAAATAATGCAAGAAAATGCTTTAGCTACTAATTGAAGGAAAACAAGACTTTAACAAAAGGAAATTTAAATAAGAACATTCCAGGCAAAGAGTAAAAGAAAATTAAAGGAAAGAGGTGAGAAAGATCATCAACTGGACCAGAACTCAGCAAGCAGGGAGGCAGGGAAAAGGTGGGTCTCAAAAGACAAGAGTGACAGGGACCAGGGTGCTGCTTGACAAAATAACCTGTTTTCAAACTGTAGGCCGCCAACTGTGATACTTTGTAGGGTTGGCAAAATAAAAAATGCTTTTAGAGGATAATTTTTAAAGATGCTGCCCAAAGGAAAAAGCTCCCGAATAATCTGTTCTGCATACAGGTTGAAAAGGTATGGAGATAGGATGCATCCCTGGCATACGCCCTTCCCAATTTTGAACCATGCAGTGTTTCCTTGCTTTGTTCTGACGACTGCCTCCTGGTCCAAGTACAGGTTTCTCATTAGCACGATCAAGTGTTCTGGGATTCCCATTCTTTTCAGAGTCAGCCACAGTTTGTTATGATCCACACAGTCAAACGCCTTTGCATAGTCAATGAAACACAGATATACAGTCCTCTGGTATTCCCTGCTTTCAGCTAAGATCCATCTAACACAAGATGGCTACACATATCCAATTTACCTATACTTTGTAAGTCACACATTCAGAGCACTGAGGAAACATTTCAACGTATTTTAATCTCTTTCAACCTGGATTATATGGCATCTTGGGTTAGTTGAATGAGAAATACCATACAGAGATTCTCATCAATACAACTCTACTTAAAGAATATATTTATCTTCTTCAAGACACTATCTTCAGTGTTAGGCTGAAAAATACTGAAAGCCATCTCAAATACACTCCAATTACTAAACTATGGCTATTTGGGAATTTTATAAACTGGTATTAGAAGATTTGCTTTTTAAAAAAAAATGCTTCCTGGTGGATCAGGCTCAAAAAAGTGAAGGATGTAAAACCGAGTTAAGATTGTGTTGAACAGTGATAGAAAAAATCTGTAAAAATGATTCTGGTATGGGTTCAATGAGTTGATGAATGTGGTTAATGTCATTGAATTGTGTAAGGGAAAAAAATTATGACATGCCAAATATTTTGTTACACATACACTTAACACAATAAAAAAAGAGAAAATGTAAAAAAAATTAGTTGTAAAGAATTTTATGTTACTGTATGAAATGTATGGAAGCCATGATTGCAGTATGTCAGAAAATCACACCACGCTTCTCAGTTGCTTTTGATAATATGAACTAAAATCTCTAAAAAGAGATCACTTCATGTGTGCCTACACCCTAAACTAACAAGTAATATTCAAGACCAGCAACATCACAAAAATACCATCATAAACCATCCACAACCAGTCACATATGCATAATCTTTATTCCACTTTCTATTGAAAGTGATAAAATGTGGTAAATAAATATTAGACAAATGTTCAAAATTTTCAGAAGACTGTATCATGCCTGAAGACACAACTATTAAGAAGATAAACGTATTTGAAATACAATCTGCAGAAGTGATGAAAAGAAGACTCAAGTCATGACTAATGTAAACTTCTAAGAAACACAACACTATCTGAAAGGAAACCACTCTGGAGGTGACACAAGGGATTTCATGCTAATGTGTACACAGGCCATCACTTAATCAAAATGAAGAGTTTGTACCAAGAGGCATATGTCCTTTTGATGACATTTACTTATGCCTCAACAGTAATTTTCATGTACAAATGAATGTCTCTTTCTGTGACATTAAAGATGCCACGGCCATTTTATAAAAGAAAGGAACTCACCTATAAATAAGTATAAATAAGGATATGCACAAAAAAAGTTGTTCCATCTCTCTGAGATTCAGATATAAATGAAATCCTATAGTAAAATAGAGTTTCACATCCATCATGGTGGCAAAATTTTATTTAAATACTGTTAACACAGTTAAATGGATAGTGAAAACTGGTGAAATGGACATGTTTTGCTATGATCAATTGGTCCTACCCTTTTCTAAAGAAACATGACACAAATGTGAAGATACTTCTGTCCCTTGACTTAAATACTTTATTTGAGGAACCCAAACAGAGTAATTCAGCTACAACAAAAAGACAAATGAGCAATCATTTATGCTAAATGATCATAAAACATATATATTATATATTATTAAATATATATAAGTAATTCTTTATTAAAAAGAGGGGGGGAAGGAAAGCATAGTATGTACATCCACGTACACACAAGTTTATAGGCTTGCCACCAAAACAGTAGTTAGGAAGACCACAAAGGAGTATTCTCTCAAACATACACTACACCACTCCAGGAAACCTATGGAAACATGGCCTTCAAGAGTAAGGAACAGAGAAAGGAAGCCTCTAATGAAGTTACAGCAGTACCTGTGGCTGGAGGAGGGAGAACTGGATGCTAATGCAGAAACAGAGGCGTTAAAGTCTTTCAGTACCAGCTAGAATACATTTCAATCACATGGATGAGGCGCTTCTCCACCATGTGAAGTGGAGGCGAGCTCATGACAGCAGCTGGGCTCAGCACTAAATGCTGCATTTACCTTGTTAATTTCAAACTGGCTCACTGGGACACTGCCATTTAGCACATTTTCTCCAATTTCTATTAACCTCTTCTGAATGTTTTCCACTATAGTGTCTCGGTTTTGATCAGAAAGAATCTGACCAATGACGAAGCTGAAAAAAGAGAGACAGAGGAAAGTTTAAGATCATACACTAATAAATTAAGAAAGAGTAGAAGGGCACACATAAATGCCATTATAATAACACATGGACAAGGGCAATACTCAAAGCTAATATAAGGGTTAATGTCCAAAAGACAGTTACTATCTTTAAAAGAATCAGCTCTACCAAAGAATAGAAATTTTTTCCTTAAACATTTTAATGTTTAAAATGCATAAAAATTCAGACAGTTCAGATAAGCAAAGGTAAGTATTCCAGTCATTGTATTCTTAAGCAATCCAAAATTCAGATATAATTAATATAAATTAAAATTTCAGAAGATAAATATCTCACTTTCCTAATAAAGCACCAAAATTATTATCTAAAACGGCCTGAAATAACCCCTAGCTGTTTATATTTATGGGCAGAAAGGGAACTGAGAGCATAGTCCCTAAGTAGTAGAGCTGATAATCCAAAAGGCAGCACCTCTCTGATAGTTCGAATCCACCAGCAGCTCCACAGAAGAAAGACGTCCAATCTCCATCCATCTCTGCAATTTACAGCATCAGAAAAGCCACAGGAGGCTGAGTTGGTTCAGACCTGATCGCAATGACGACTAAGTGATGATTGTTTTGGTTGGTTGGTATAAATTCATTTATTTATGAGTGGTTGTTATGTTGTGTTCTGTTGAGTCAGATCTGACTCATAGCTGACTCTTCTACAAAGTTCTTAAATGCAGTAAATCACAGGAGAAAGCTGCTCACCCATGGAGCAGTGGGTTGGCAGCACAGCTCTTTACACCTCTTAGCCAATGAATAGAACTAGGAATTCCTTTACATAAATGTCAATAAAATAATACTTTCAAATTCTTCTTTCTTCAAGCTACATTATGCTGCAGAATGTGGTCCAACCTGAAGCTATTCCTCAAAGATGCCATTCTATTCTAACAGATCAAAAAGAAAGGGATAAAAAGCACAATGAAAGAAAAGGAGGGGGGAGAAATAAGGAAGCCAATATTTTATCCATTTCTGAGAAAATGCAGAGCGAGAGTTTGACAGCTGCATTATAATTTGTCAGAAAAAGAACCCTGACAAAAACATTTGTATAGCTTTAATTACTAATACATTTCTAACTCAGAGAAATTTACTTCTATTATGATGTATCTTTTCTTAGAAAACACAAAGCTGAAGAGAATACTCTAATCGCCAGTCTATACAAAGTAGCTTCATCTTTGAGTACATTTTGGGGGCAATGAAGCATTTCAAACTACATTTCATAAAAAGCAAATGGTGACCTATACTCAAATGATCATCTTTGCCTAATCAAGAGTAGTTTTGCAGACGCAACAATCGCTCAATCTCCTAACTTTGAAAGCAAGATGAACACTGAAAAACAGTGGGAAAATGCTGATGTTCAACAGTATTAATTTACAATTTTGTCTCTCAGGGGAAAAATTATTCTATTTTCAGAATTTTAAAGCTTGATTTATCTGAAAGATGATGCATAGAGTACCTAAATGAGTCATTTTTTAAATGGATGCTTTATAAATTAATATGACCCTAAGAAAAAGGTCTTATCACAATATTCAAACTCAGGAGACCAGTAATGATATTTATTATTTCTGAGTTACATACAGCATTTGAGAACTAGCTCCAAAGCTATGATCAGTTGTTGTTGTTGTTGCTGGTGATTGACATCGAGTCGAGTACAACTCATAGTGACCCTATGAACAAAAAGTGTGAAGCCTTTCTATAACTATCGTCATTTCTCAAAGTTCATAAAGATTCCAGAGGCATGTAGTTTAGGAAGTGGATGGCACTCCCGCTTCCTCCAAACTATTAGCAGGCCCATTTCTCCCTCTTGCAGACAAATGAAAGTCTCCGGCAAGACCACATCCCATGCTGACACTCACACCACTTCATCAAGATGACGTGGTATACTGGTCACAGGTGAATTCTTGGCTGAATCCGATTATTATTACAAGGAGGGGGAGAGGGAGTGACCAGTGGTAATCTTTTTTTTAATACACATGTCAGGTGGGAGGAACAGACTCAACTCTATGGTCCACTTTCAATTTCAGAACATTTTGAGTCACCAAAGATACATATATGGTTACATTCTTACAGAGGCTCTAGAAAGATTTAGTACATACTTACTAGACACTTTCTAATAGTAACATTCAAGGAAAGCATAACTAAAACCATCTAACATAAACAAAAATCTGACATCTTAAGAGGATTTCAAATGTGAAGATTTAACTTCACTCAAGAAAGTTCAATCTTTCGCAACCATTGCTTATTTGGGACAGTTTGGCTTTCTCAGGGAGCTCTGGTGGTCTAGTGGCAAGAAGCTGTGCTTCCAATCCCAAAGGCACTCAGTACTAATCCACCAGATGCTCTGCTGGAGCAAGATGGACAATCTCCTCCTGTGCCATTCAGATCCGACTCAATGGTACACAACAAGAAATAATTTTTTTTTAAAAAAAAAGGTCTGTGTGCCATTTGGCTTTCTCTGTTAATCTTTTTCTGTTAACCCCAAGATAAAGCTTCTTCACAGTAATAACTATATAACCAAAGAAGACTGTGCTTTGCCGGAGTGTTAAGCATTCTCCAAAGTGTCACTGAAAGTTACCTTTTTAAAAAAGACAAAAGCAAAAAGCACAAGTGGAAGATGAACTCACTTTCCAGTGTCTTTCGCAAGATCACACCAATCTCTTCTCACTATATCTAATCCTTTCAGTTCCTGTTTGGTGAAGTAATTCCCATCCGAGGTTGGCTCCACAACCAGAGCCGCATATTTCTTTTTCTTCAACAGTAGAAGAGATTTGAAAACACCATCAATATCTATTTCAAGCAGCCTGTACAACTTATTCACTTCACTTTTTACCTGTGAAAAATTTCAACCATCAATGTTAACTTCTGAAACACTGAAAAAGGAAACAAACAGGTTATAAATTCCCAATAGTTAATCGAAACAGACACAAATTCATGTAAGATTAAAATGCAAAACATTAAAACTTAAATAACATTATGTTGTACAAAGACAATGAATGAACACGGAACAGAAACACATTTTAAAAGCAGAGAAAATACTGTATTACTCCAGAGATCCAAGGGGCACTGGCACGTGTAACATCTCAATCTAAAGCTTAAACATATATACTAGCCTTGGGCTCAACTACGTGTATAGTTGTGAGAGGGTACGTAAGGAGGCAGTGGTTTATTCTGTTCTGCAAGATGTCTCAAAGAGTCAGACAGAGCTGAATCAAAGACAACAATGAAGCATCCAAAACTGACAGAATGAGCTAGAGACCAGACAGGTCAACAAAAAAGAACTATGTGGTCAGAAAAGAACTAAAATGTTAAACTATTAAAATAAAGGCTAAGATCTCTTTGTATCTCTCATAGAATTTATTCTAGTCTCATAAAAAAAGTTCACAAAAGCAATTAATCTCACATTCCATTTTCTCTCCTATTCCTTTTCCTGCTGTTGCTCGAGGTAAATAGCAACTCAGTGCTCCGCCTTGGCTGGCTGAAGCTTTAAGGATTCCAGGAACTGATTTGTGGAGAAGCACTAAACACATTATAAGGCCTACTGATGGGGATGTCCAGAGAAACCATGACCCTAAACCTCCAAAGCACGGAAAATACTATTAAATATTTGGTTGTACATAAGCAGTCTCCCTCGTCCCTGCACCCTGAAGGGTATAGGGAGCTCTGGTGGCCTAGTAGTAAGAAGCTGAGCTGCAATCCTGAAGGCATGTGGTTTGAAACCACTAGCTGCTCTGCATGTGGATGGGCTAGATCTTATCATGCAATTAACTGCCTCTCAAAACCCACCAGAGGGTCAGCTATGGGTTGTTTCTGACTGGACAATACACAACAAGAGTGGCTATAAAAATTACCAAACTAAAAAAAAAAATTACCAAACTGTGTGCCTTGAATTGCAATTGTTTGTTGTTGTTATGCACCATCGAGCCCTAAACTCTGCTCTGTCCTGTGCCAATCGCACCGTCTCTGACGCATCTGTCCTGATTACCCCAGTCACTGAATCAATCCATCTCCTAGAGGGCCTTCCCCTCCTGCGCTGTCCCTCCACCCTCCCAAGCATGATGTCCTTCTCCAAGAACCAGTCTCTCCTTACAACACGTCCAAAGTATGTTAGATGGAGCCTCAGAATCCTTGCCTCCAAGGAGCCACCCGGTTTAACCCTTTCCAGGACGAATCTGTTTGTTTTCCTAGCAGTTCATGGTATTCTCAATACTCTTCTCCAGCACCACAGCTCAAAGGCATCAATTCTCCTTCTGTCCTCCTTGGTCATTGTCCAGCTCTCTGAAGTATAACAAGTGATTGTAAAGACCATGGCCTGTATCAGATGCACCTTAGTAGCCAGAGAGACACCACTGCTCTTCAATACTTTGGAAAGGTCCCTAACAGCAGACTTTCCTATGGTAATACGTCTTTTAATTTCCTGGCTACTGGTGCCAAGAGTGTTGACTGTGGAGCCAAGCAGACTAAAGCTGTGAACAATTTCAATCTCTTCACCATCCATCCTGATGCTGCCAATCAGTCTAGTGGTGAGAATCTTTGTCTTCTTGACATTGAGCCTCAATTCATATTGTAGGCTGCAGTCCTTGACCCTCTGCAGCAAGCGCTTCAGGTTCTTCTCAGTTTCAGCAGGCAGGGTTGTATCATCTGCATAACACAGACTGTTGATAGATCTTCCACCAATCTTGACCCCACATTTCTACTCATAGAGGCCAGCCTCCCAGATAATCTGTACTGCATATAGGTTGAAAAGGTATGGAGATAGGATGCATCCCTGGCATACGCCCTTCCCAATTTTGAACCATGCAGTATTCCTGTGCTCTATTCTGACGACTGCCTCCTGGTCCAAGTATAGGTTTCACATTAGCACGATCAAGTGTTCTGGGATTCCCATTCTTCTCAGAGTCAGCCACAGTTTGTTATGGTCCGCACAGTCGAACGCTTTTGAAACAAAGTCAATGAAACACAGATATACACTCCTCTGGTATTCCCTGCTTTCAGCTAAGATCCATCTAATGACTGGAATAGCACATCTGCAGAGAATTGCCAGAAGTCCAGGCTGGGTTTAGAAGGGGTCGTGGTACTAGGGATATTGTAGCTGATGTTAGATGGATCTTAGCTGAATTGCAATTAGGAGGGTACAAATGATTATTTTTTAATGGCTCCTGACCAAGTGGCATCCACTTCCTAAACAATATGTCTCCAGAAACTCTATGAACTTTGATAAAAATCTGTACTTATAGAGGGATGTCAGACCTTTTCTTTATAGGGTCGCTATGAGTTGTGTTCAACTTGAAGGCAATCAACAGCTCCTATAAAATAATAGATATCCATACAAGTATGTGTACCTGTCTGTGTGCATTTATACATATCTAGGTATAAAATGCATTTATGTGATCAATAATTAAAATATGTAAGCCTGTTTTCAGGTAAAATAAAGATTCATTGATCTAAGCCTAGGACTGAACTCACCCCGTTTCCATTTTCAGTCAAGCAGAACAAAAAGGTGAACAATAATCCCAGAAAGGTTTATCTTCCTTAGAACAATCAACCATACAAAATCAGAATGGAAGCACTTACAGGGATAAAATTCATAAGGATGGAAAGGATACCAAAGCATGGCTAATGGATATGGGAAATGAGAGAGTAAGTGGTAAAAGTGCTATAGTAAGAGACTGAAGAATGTCATGAAACAAAATGTATGAACAACTGAATGGAAAAATCAATCTGCACTGTAAAGTCAAACCTCAATAAAGATTAAAAAAAAAAAAAAGGAAAAGGAATCTACTGTTTAGAGGAAAAAAATTATTTTTTAACTTTATCCTAAACATTTGAAGTACAAACTTGGGAAAAATAAGACGACAAAGAGTGTGTGTGTGTGTGTGTGTGTGTGTATATTTTACAGCATTTCATGGTAAAAACAGAATTGACAAATGTATGTAGGACAGATAACTTCACCCAATTATCTCACCTTGTTCCCTAACTTATATACTTCTTCCAGGTTGGTGCTATTGGTGTTTATCATAATTGAGTCTGTATCTCCATAAATAACTTCAAGATTCATCTAATAAAAAAAAATGAAAGGCTTAATGACAACAACAAAAAAAAACCCCACAGTGACCATTACACAAACTGCAATGAGGGTCCTTAAGCTTTACTATATTACAGAAATTACAGGGTCCACAGCCTTGTCAAAAGTGGGCTTATTAGTATCTACACTGTCAAGGATGCAGAAGGACAGATTTTTCTAAAAACCTAAAAGGCACTCTAGTGCTTTTTTTAAAAAAAATTCCACATTTTTTTACAAGTCAAACATGGACTAGCAAGAGAAGTATGTCTGGTGTCAACTGGAAAAAAAATATTAAACACTTGCATGAAGACTAGAAGACTAGGAGGACGAGGTCTATATTTAACCACTAGACCACATGTGTAGTGGTCATGGTAATTTAGCAAACAGAATAGATTTTAAAATTCCAGGGCACAAATATATATTAAATTCTTAAGAGTTTCAAACAGCATTTAGCAGAATACGAAGAGTGCCAAAAAAAATCAATCATAACAAATACCCCTGGAACACATACAGTACAAAGGCCTGGAATAAACTCTAATTAGCACTGTTACTAATTTGCTTGAAACATTCACATATAGGCTTCAAGCAGAGGCCAGATCATATCAGTGTTAGTAAAAGAAAAAAAGCTATAATCCATTAGGAGGGATTAAAAATGTAAACTAGACATCCTAAGAAGCGATTTGTAGCCTGTTTGGGTTACAATTTTCCTTGAATACAAAAACATCACGAGGTGTGATATTTAAGAGGTGCTATATAATGCAAAGTTTCAGCATTACCTTCTGGACCATCTCTTTCGTATGTATCAAAATCTAAATGAGACAAAAAAAGTCAAAATTAATGTACTGCATAATTACAAACACAGCGATACGAGCACACAGAGCAGGTAACTCCCAAGGATTTCTCATTTCCATCTATTTTCAAAGCTGTTGGTGCTAAAACTAGTAGTCACATCAACACAGTCTAAATCCAGAGACATAAACAGGTATCTAGGTTTCATAAACATGCTAATAAAAGTAATTCTTTTTTAAATGGCATAAAGGCAATCTATTCTCATTGCTGGTGCAAATGGTCAATGCACTCAGCTGCTACCCAAAAGACTGGAAATTGGAATACATTCAGAGATGTGCTGAAGAAATGAGTGGCAATCTCCTTAAAAAAAAAAAGTATCGGTCACTATTAACCCCAGGGAGCACAGTTCTACTCTGACACTCTTAGGGTTGCCATGAGTTGACATCACTGATACAAGGCAACTGGAACTGAAAATCTTAATCACTAATATTTAAGGGAGCTCTGGTAGCCTATGGCAAGGAGTTGTGCTGCTAACTCGAAGGCATGTGGTTCAAATCCACCAGCTGCTTCACAAGAGAAAGATGGGCAGTCTTCTCCAGTATGATTTACAGCCTCTGAAAACCCGCTGACGGTCAGCTACGGGTCAGTTCCAATTGGATGGTACACAACACCAGCACCACCACAGTATTTACAGGTAATGGTATGGGATATTTGAGTTTTAGGTGTTTTTTTTTTAAAAAAAAATAATTAAAACAAGCTTAACAGAACATTTCAAATCTTACATTCTTGCTCATGAAATTTAGTAGTATCTTAAAAAGCAGATACAGTAAAACACATAAGATTATCTCAGACAAGACTAGAAGTAACATTATATAAATGAAATTGCCTGAAAAAGTAGTAATAGCACATATGGTGACTACTCAGTATGTAAGTCTGAACTGACACAGTGGCTACCATAGGCTCAAACATAGTAACAATTTTAAGGATGGCGCAGAACGACACATGCTTCAATTTGTTATATACATAAGGTCATGAGTCAGAGCTAATGAATAGCAGCTACCAACAAATGTTTATATACATATGTTATATACAGGGAGCTCTGGTGGCCAAGTGGGAAGAAGCTGAGCTGCAATCCTGAAGCACACAGTTCGAATTCACCAGATGCTCCGTGGGAGAAGAAAGGGCAGTCTCCTCCCATGTGATTAATTGCCTCTGAAAACCCGCTGGTCAGCCAGGTATGGGTCAGTTCCAACTCTATGGTACACAACAACAACAACAACACTGTATAAATGCAAGCAGCACCTCGTGTATTTTCTCATTTAGTTCTCCAAGATAACTAAGAGATAGTTACTATAGATATACCCATTTGTTAGAGGCAAAAAGACAAACCGGAAGTAATTAGCTTGCCCTTGAGTAAGAGAAACTATAAGGATATGGCGTAGGTATCTGTCCCTCGAAATCACCCACCTTGCAGTGCATCAATCTAGACTATGTGCCACTGTCCAATGGGCCAGAAAGAAGATTTACTTATCTTTCTTCTACTTCTAAACTCTTTTCTGCCAGCTAGGCTCAAAGAAAGTCCTAAAGTTTTGACCTCTGAGTATATTTTCCATTGAGTCCATTTTTTCCCCATTTCTATTGCTCCTTCCCCTCATTTTTATGATTGTCTTCCCAACTTCATTTATATGTTCACTGTGCTATCTACTTAGGATAAGAGGCTGTTCGCTGGCCCCCAAAGGGTGAAAGACCATAGTTTTCATTCTGGTCTAATGTGTTGTGTTGGGTTTGCTGGTTTTTTTTTGTTTTGTTTTTTAAAAAGCTAATTATTCCAACGTCACCAGGAGGGTTCAGGGACCACTGGTCCCGGATAATCATAATGCCATTCTATAAAGTTCCTAGGTATGTGTACGTTACAGCATGCACATGGTCAACTGCAGGTAAAGAGAAGTCTGCTAGGATGATTCTGTTAGATATTTCCTCCGTGGATGAAAATAGAAATAGAAACAAGTGACTCTTATTCTGCTATGTGCCTGCAGGTGCAGCAATGGCTGAGGAGGAAAGCTAACGTGCTGAGAAAGGTGGATTACAGGTAGAAAGCACTCGGCCCCGTGATGATACAACTGTGGTAATGAGTGATCAACTCCTACCTATACAGCAAAACTCTCACTAGCTCTGTTGTTAGGTGCCATCCAGTAAGACTCACAGCGACCTTATGAACAAAAGATTTTTAATCCTGTCCTATGCCGCCCTCATCATCTCTGACACACTTGAACCCACTGCTGCAGTCAATGTGTCAATCCATCTGGTTGAGAGTCTTCCTCTATTTCACCACCCTTCTCCACCTTTCCAAGAACAATGTCCCTTTCCAAGGAATAGCCTCTCCTAGCAACATGCCCAAAGTATGTGAGATGAAGTTTTAACATCTTTGCCTCCAAGAAGCACTCTGCCTGCACCATCCCCAAGGTAGATCTTTTCTTTTGGCAGTGCATGGGATATTCAGTACTCTCCTCCAACACCACAGTTCAAAGGCATCAATTATTTTTCTATCATCTTATTCACTGTCCAGCTCCCAGCACCTTAGTCCTCAAACTGACATTAATCAGTTCTTCTCAATAATTTGCAAAGATCCATGAATGCAGACTTCCCCAATGCAATACGTCTCCTGGTATCCTGACTGCTAGTACCAGAGGGGTTGATTTTGGATCCAAGTAGGATGAAATCATTGATAGTTTCAATCTTCTCTCCATCTATCGGGTCTGGGGATGAGAATTTTTGTTTTCTTTAAACTGAGATGCAACTCACAAACTACTGCTGTTAGCTGCTATCCAGTCAGTCCTGATTCATGGCAATCCCGTGTACAACAAAATCACACTCTCTTGACTTGGGGTTTTCAGGAATTGATTCAAGGAAAGACCTCACTGAGTCTTTCTTTCCAGTACATTTTAATCTGGAAGCTCCACCGAAAGCTGTTCAGTATCCTGGTAACAGGCAAGCCCCCACTTGCACATTACTGGCTAGGTATGAGATACAGTGGCTAGCACTGAACTTGGGTCTCTCTCAAGGAAGAATAGAATTCAAACATTGAGCCACTTGACTGGGCCTTAGGTCTCATCATCTCACTATGCATACCACTCTCAGTCTCTTGAATGTTTTCCATATCTCCCTGTCACTACAAGATCAAGTACCAACTCCACAGCTGCCCCCAAACTGATTTTATAGACTGTGTTTCCTTTACTCAAACTTTCTACTCAGTTAAGAAAAACTTCGGGGGTGAGGGCTGGGCGGGGAAAGAAGTACAGCAATGAATGAATGGAAAACCAAAATCTCTGTAAATGCTCATTAAAATTATTAAAAAAAAAAAGGAAGAAAAACTTCACACTCCTTGAAAAGATACCACACACAGACTAACCTTTTTATGGCTTTCTCATACCATGTCACCTAGCTAGAATTTCTTCACTGGTCTTCTCTACTCAAGTCCTCTTCCATAAAGGCTCAGCGAACCATGACGAACCAGCCCACAGTGACCTCTCTCCCTTCTGATTTGTGCTTACACCATTCTTCTGGCCTTTTAACTGATGTTTGCTATTATTACTTGACAGTTTGTCCTCCCTTCATCTAGATTCCTGGGGGTCTGGTAACATTTATCCTACCTCTCTGAATCCTGTGTTTCTGCCTAACTCCAGACTTCACATATGCCAAAATTGAAAACGCAAACTTACCGCCATCAATTTAGTTCCAACTCATAATGATTCTCCATTGGGTTTCTGGGGCTATAAATCATAATAGAAGGACACTGTCCATTTTCCTCTTGTGGAGCCACTGGTGGACTCAAACAGCAGGAGACACATGGTCTTTGGGAAGCAGCACAACTTGCTACAGACTACAGTACTTAAAAAATTGTTTGCTAGTTGACTGATAGGTCTCACAGTAATCTCAATTACTTTTCTACTAGACATTAAAATTGGGTTAGCTTATAAAAACATGCACTCTTCTCTATTTAATCTTCATTTTTTAACATTTAAATTACAGGGAAATACATTATGGAGAGATTACCTGACAATTCCTTTGGGAAAAGGGCAATAACAGGTTCAACCCAAGTCAAGTTAATCACAGTGAGGACAGAGCTACTTATCAAGAGTTCTTTTCACCCTCTGCCCCCTCACCTTGCAGAGCATCACTTTCACCATCACAATGGGTAACTCCAGAAGGGGACTGTTACCTATACTCAGTAAAACACTGTCAGCCTTTCACCGCAACTCGGCATATTCAGCAACCAATTTCAGCTACTCCTTTCACAACGTCATCTCAATGTGAATGGGCAACTTCTTTCAAACTCATCCTCCACCCCCACTCTATCTTCAAAGGAACATGTGTATTCCATCTAAGAGCTATGACCACAGTAATTTTTTCCTTGGTAGTTACTATGCCCAAAAATGATAACAAACTTAAACTAAAAACTGTATCACAACTGTATTTTTCATCTAACAATTTAGCTTAGAGATTATGATATCCACATATAAAAGATTATCTTATTCTTTTTAACTACTACATAAATATTTCACAACATTCACAGAGAACAGTTTCTTGAACTGTGAGCAGCTATTGAACTGGAACCAAAGAAAAGAACCGATGTTGTTCCATCCGGTACCATCCTCATGAACATTGGTATATTTCAGTCTATTGTGGCTATCTTGCTAATGCGTCTTTTTGATGTTTCCCTTGGTTTTAGTAGCCCTTTACTTCATCCAGCATGATACCTCTTGCTATCAATAATGGACACGTATGTTGTGTTATGTCTCAGGTTCAAGATCCTCAAAACTTGTTAACACATCATCAATTCATTCTCTATAGAACAACTCCCAACCAGATAAACCCCTCACACTCTCATCTTTCCTCACTAAGCAATTCTAGATTCTGGGTACTATTGCATCCCATCTGGATTTGACTCAAGTGCTATATCACTGCAAAGCTGGCAACCTTCAATTCAAAGTTTCAAGCGTCAATGGGGAAGCATTCAGTT